AAGAAAAACTTTAATATTTTATATAGTATTATATATTGATATTATTATTATTTTTTTGAAGAAACAGATTCCTATATACTATTTTTATTATAATTTTAGACTTGCAATTACAAGATTTATAATTTATAACATAGTATATATTTTTTTTTACTGGAAAGAGTTTAATACAAGGTTCACAATTGCAATCTATCCATTTAAGCTCATTAGTACTATCTAAGAATATAAAAAAAAGAAATTCAAAACCTATATTATACTTTAAATAACATTTAATTATCTAGAGAACTGGATTACCTAATTATATGAAAATATTGCAATTACTATATACAAGTTGATTTTCAAGTTATAATTAAAATTGATATATTTGTTTTTCAAATATAGCTTGATATATAACAAGTGAAGCAAGTATTGATTTCAAATTATACTAAACTCAAATCATATCAAAATGAAATCAGTCCTTTATTATTTGTATCTAATATTGACCTTTCATTTAAGCTCATTACTAGGACTTAAGGTTAAAGAGCAACAATTATTTTTATCATCAAAATGATTCTTTGATGATATTAATTTTTTACTATTTGTATCTAGTATAAATTTTTTATTTTAAAATCTATTACTAAAATTATAAGTTAAAAAGCAACAATTAATCTTACTTCAAAGTGGTTTTGAAGAATAGGTTTTGATTTTAGTATAAGTTGAAACCAGTAATGTTATAGAGAGGATTTGGATATAAAGTAATAGTTTATTAAGAAGAATATTGGATATAGAATAGAGTTAAAATTTATCAAAAATACTGATACTTAATTATGTATAATGGATTTATATTGTTAGAAGAGTAAGCAAAAAACTCTCATTATCATTATTGGCTTATATTGTAAGAGTAATTAGAATTTTTAATATTTATATATTATTTTACTAAATTTTTCAATTATTAATATAACACTTGTAATTAATCTAACTTATTGTTAACTGTATTAGTATTGATTATCATATTATTTTGGATATTGTGAGATACAACTTTTTGAATATTTTCAGATAATAATAATTATATATTGGTTTTTTAGATATACAGTATTTAGTTTTATTATTAACAAATAAACAATATTAGATTTGATAATAATAATCATATCAATTTTTTAAAGAGAGTAAACTATTTGTCTTTTTTTTGTAAGATCATGAAAGAAAAAAAAATTCTGAAGCTCATATCTTAAGAAAAGTTATCACTTTTTAATCTAATCCTTAAGAAAAGAGAGTTAATTGACTAGAGAAGTGATATTATGAAGAGCAAGGTTTATAAAAAAATAAGAAACCTAAGAAAAAAAACTTTCAAAAAAAAGAAAAAACTTAATTTTGATAGAAAAAAAGGAAAATGAAGAAGGGGAGAAGTATAGAATAAAAAAAGTATATAGAAAAAATAAATAAATAGAAAAGGAGAAATAAAAAGATATAGAAGAGAAGAGATAAAAAAGATGAAAAAAAAAATGCAAAAAAAGTAAACAACTTAAATTTTCTAAAAAGAAAATTTTTAAACAAAAAGAAAAAGTAAGAAATGATTTTTTTATTATATATTAATATTATATAATTATTGTATATGATTGATAAATTTAAAACTATATATAAAATTTAATTATATATACTGTATATATATTTTTATATCTTTTAATTCTTCATATGCTTGTTTAACAATATTATCTTAAAAAATAATAATATTCATATTTCTATCTTAATTGCTTATAATTAAATATTAAATAATCTTTAGTTTTATTAAGGTTAATTAAAATATTATAGTATTTAAATGATTTTTTAAATAGATTGATATTTAATTTTTTTTATGAATCTTTAATTCAAGTAGCAAGTATAGTATAGGATAGTTTATAAATTTGTTTAGCTGAAGTTAAATTTTTTTGTTAAATTTTATTATTTATTTAATTATTATATTAATAATAAATCTATTATAAATAAAAATAAAAATAAATATTTTATAATATATATTTAATAGTTATAATTTACTTGTAAGTTATTTCAAAATTATTTTCAAATTATTATTTTTTTTAAAAAAATTAAATTTTATAAAATTTATCAGATATTTTTGAAATAAATTTTAAAAAAAAATTTTTGTAAATTCAGATTATTTTATTAATTTTATATAATTTCTATTTAGTATTGTATTTTGGTTTTATTATAATATTAATATAAATATAAATATAAATTTCATTAGAAAAAATTTCATATGATATATTTTTAAGCTTGAAAATACAAACTAATAAATGTTTCAAACTATTAATTATATATTATTAGCAGAAAAATTGCTTATATGAAATCCAGTAATATGACATTAATATAATATATCTAATCAAAGTAATAAAAATGTTTTAGTAAATAATATAATGATATAGTAAAAAGCTTAAATAGTTTATTTCTATAGTGTAATAGTTTATAAATCATAGTAAGATAGTTTTATAGTATATTAGAATAGCAATAGATATATAAATAGATGTGAAAAAGTATGAAAAGAAAAAAGCAATCTAGGCAAAAATCTTAATTTCAATTTTAAAAATAACAATCTTAATTAATATTCTTTCCTATTAAAAAAAGAAATATGAAGTGGTTATGCAATATTGAAGTATTAATTAAAAATTGCTATACATGATGATGATAAATGTGCTCAAATAAGAAGTGATTAATTAACCTTTATAAAGTAATATTGTCATAAGGAGATCATTCTGGAAGTCACTAAAGAGAATAGTGACTTAAATCATCCAGGAAAGATGACAAGTAAAAGAAGAGAATTAATTATAGCTTCAAGATTAATCAAATCAAATTCATGCCTCAAGTAGAAAAAAGAAAAATAATCTACTCTGATATTATGCAAGTTTGACCTGCCACAAGTAACAAACTCACTGTTTCTATATTAACAATATTTAAGAATTATAATAAAATATTTTTTTTTATAATCTGTTATTTAAATTATAACAGTTGATAATTTATGCTTATTTATTGTAATTATACTTGGAAAATCAAAAGATAATAAAGTTTTATTCATATTTTCAATACAATTAAACATATAATAATTTTTTTGTTACTTATATAATATATAGTTTAAAAATTCTTCTTGTTTTTCAATAAAATTTTTAGATAATTGTTGAATAACTACAGTTTGATAGCAATTAAAAAATTCTTTATAAAATAAAAAATTCATCTAACTATTTTAAAGAAAATTTAAATCATTAATATTAGGATATAATTTCTAATATTGATTTTTGATAGCAAAAATTTCAACTTTTTATATAATCATATCTCTTGTTACTATATTTACTTTGTCTTAATCTTCAGAAATTCAATTAGCAAGTTTATTTTCAAGTTTTGGATAATTTGTATTATGTTCTAAATATAACTTTAATTTGTGAGATGTTGTATTTTGTAATTCTTGTTTTTTTGTAATCCGATTGTAAACTTGTTTTCTTTGAATTCCAAATTTTATTGCTATTTTACGAATTGAATTTTCTTGTTTCTGATAATAAATTATCATTAGTTTTTTATGGGTACATCAAGAATGATGTTTGGAAAACTTTTTACATGCTTTTCAAACAGCAGTAATTCATTTTGTCATAATTACAGATAAAAAATAGAAACTTTTTGCATTTTCTCATTGTCCGAAGCAAAGCGTAGGACAATATACTTCTACGTCAAAAATGGATGCAATGTCTGTTTTCTGTCCCACCTGATCGATGAATGATATTTTGTACACGTGATTTATATTACGGTTATTCTTAATAATAATAATAATTAATGAATCGGAAGTGAATTTTTAATTATTCACAATTAATGAATCAGAGGTAAATTTTTAATCAAACAAATAAATATATGAATCAAGGGTGTTACTACTGTATTTTGATGGGAAAATTAGTTAAATACCTTTTTCTCCAAAAATTTATTCAAAAATTATTACAGTATTGAAATTTCACTCAACAATGCAAATGTGACTGTAAGTATGCTATACAGAAAGCATCTTAATTTATTAATAAAATCTATTATATAAATAATAACTCCTGTAATGCTTCGGTTTCCGTTCCCTAGTTTTATTTTATTTTTTTGTAATAGAAAAAACAAATGTTATTATTAGAGTAACAATAATCAAAATCATAACGATAACGATAAAAATCATAACAATGATAATTGATATTTCCGAATATAGTATCCGCAAAATACGGTATATTTTCCGTACTCACGTGATAATTGTATTCAAGTTCATCATTACGTAGTTGAAACAACTGTGGCTGATATGGATTCAACGGTTCCACAGTTGATGTGGCTAGTGTAACGTGTTTTCGCGTCCATTGTCTCTAAATCAATCCCTTGTGTAGAACGAAATGTAGCCAAGATAGTATGATATGACTTTTTCGGTGATGCAATGTATGGCGAATGATCCTTGATGCCACAATGATGAAAGATCGTTGGGATTAATAAAGAATTTTTTTTCATTGTAAATCGGGTCATCGCAAGGATTTTATTGGCTAATGAAGAAAGAATTCGTTGCAGGAGATGAATGAGTGTAGGTTCATGTACTCAGGAAAAACGATATTCTAGAATAATCAGTTCTATTTCTGATTCTAATGAATTCGTGAAAATATCCAACTTCCATTAAGGACGCAGTATGGGCGATTCGAATCCGATTTTTACTTAAGAAATAAGAAGCCAGAACAAAATGTATGTTGTCTATATTCAACTTTATTATAAGAGCTCTCGAGTGCCCATTTGCTTATGTAATAGACCAAGATAAACTCTTTTTTTCGCACTAATTTTGTTATTCTATAATATTTCTTTTTAAAAAAAATACATTAGATTTCCAAATACAATTTAATTCAAAAAATGCAGAAATGGTGTTCCACAAAGTTGTACGACAAAGAAAAACGCATAAATAGAAAGTTTCAAAATTCAGGACCATTGCTTTTCGTGTGTTTTCACATACATCATCTTTGTCATTTATAACAAGATTCAAAAAAATGACTAAAGAACATCCAAGAAAGAAAGTTACTGTCGCGTGCACAAATTGTAAAAAAACAAAAACCAAATGCGACGGAAATGATCCCTGTGCTAAATGCGTTAACAAAAAGTTAAGCTGTTTGTACGTTGCCCCAGTAAAAAATAGGGGACCTACACCTAAATTGAAAGATTCTTGTCAGGAAAGAGAAAATTTGAGAAAAAAAGGTCAATTCCAGCGAATACAACCAAAACCACTTCTTAATGTAGAGGTGAATACAATTGCTTCTATTGCAACTAGTAACGCAGAAAGGAACTCACATGAAGCTAACTTTAATGCCATGAATAATTTTTTGCAATCTCCTGGAATTGCTTTACCTGGCATTATCAAACCTACTGGGCAAACTTCGTCAACTACGTTAAGAATGGAGCAGAATACAAATGACACTAACCGTTTTCAACAATATGAAGTGGAAAGTAATGAAAATTTTTATCTGACGAGCGTGACCACATGCTCTCCCCTAGTAGATCCACCAATTGAACCTTCTCACTTTTTTAATGCACCTAGTAACATAGGTATTGCTACTTTTTTTTTCGGAATTCATGTATTTTTTAATGAAATTATATTGATTGTTTTCTTTATTATAGAATTTTCATCTTCATCTCTGCCATTACCGTACATCTCGTCTTCTTCATTGCCTTATACATTACCATCCTCTGGAACTTCCCCTCTAATAATGTTTAACAAAAATAAACGAGCCAATGAACTGACTTTCCCCGAAGAACTGTTCTTTTCGAATTATGATAATTTGATTTCGGATGATATTTATTCGTTGCAGGCAGAAACTTATTCCGGGATTGATTCTAATTCAACTGTGAATATGAATACTGTTCTTGTACCTATGAATGTCGCTATCGCGAACATAAATACCTATGCTGATATTTATAACGTTGCATATGCGAATGTTGGCGCAAAAATGAGTGATGCATCTCTTGTGAATGCAGGCTCTACCGACGTGAACGTCATTCCGAAGGCTTACGGCTCTATAAATTCAAATATTCCAGCAAACGCAATATTTTGGATATCAGGTGATCCCAGTGATGAGCATTGACTTTTTTTCTAAACATTACCACCTGCCACAATGATGATAAAAAAATAACACGTTTTAGATAATGCCCTGCATACAATCGCCCTTGCCTTAAATGTACTGTGACGTTTAGAATTTTACCATAAATATCATTAATGGACAGTTTACTACCAGTACGACGTATTTTCTAAGCACACTATGCATTAGATCTATGCGTAATGGAACACTATGATTATGTAAACATTTCAACATATAGCTTATGATATTAAATATTTTTAACCCTTTAATTACAAAATTATCGAAGATAACGACTACAGAAGTTATTTATTATAAACCAATTTTTTGAAAATGATTACCTCTTAAAATATTGTTATAAAAATTAGACCAATTAACTTAAATTAGGTTATATCATTTTTACAAATATTATTTAGTACTGAGAACTTTCTTAAACGCATCTCTAGAATTATTATTCATTAAGTTTTTACTCGGCGAAAAAAATACAGTACAGGTTTAATTTTTTGCAACGAAATACAAACTTTACACATTTTTTAAATAAATAGATTGAATTTTTTTTTGAAATAAAACTCAATTGTCGCTTATTTATAATATTTCAATACTCTTTTTTTCTTAAAAAATAATTAAATAGAATCTCAAATAAATAAATTAACTTATAATAAAATATATAAATATTTGTTTCTTTTATATAGTTAATAAAAAATATAATAATGATATAATAATAATAAATGCTAAATGATAAAGTAAAATAAAATTAAAACAGTCTTTGTTTTAAAATTTATAATAAATCATAACATGCATTGCATATATACTATGTGTTATATTTATTTACAATATATTTATATTTTTAAAAAATATAATTTATAAATTTTTTTATTTATAAAAAATATAACCATAAATTTATTTAGTATGTTTTTTATAATAATAATTTTAACAGTTTCGTTATATTGGTTAAGCTTCTTGCAAAGTTTTAAGATTTTTTTCTATTCATTAAAATATATGTTTTTTTAAATATTAAATATATTAATAGGGTTGTTATTGCATATTGTTTTTAATTTTATTTGCCTAAAAAATATAAAAAGATTTTATAGACCTATCCGGTCATAATCCAGTGGGCTAAGGTAGGGTAGGGCTAACCTATGAACTACGGTTCAATCCCAGCTGGGGGCAATTCACATATCCCAAACAGGACTTTGTGTCACTGCTTCTGTAACTTGTGATAGAGAGCAATTTGGGTTGTTCTGACAATCAAGGAGCCTTATGGGTAAACTACACCCCATAGGTCAAAAAGATAGATGATCTGATTGGTAAAACTTTCTGATCAAGTATTGCCCAGGAAATATCTTCAAAAGGGGGAAGAAGTTTCATGGGATCTTTTTAGTAGTGGAAGGAAAGATACAGATGGCTAAAACCATTAGTCGCACAACTATCAGTAAGAGTTTCACATGTCCATTGATAGCGAGGATCCGGTCAGGATTGTAAAAGGTCACTTGTATCACGGGATGTTCTATCCTAAGGGGTACACTTGTAACGGTTGACTACATGCCTCCATAAATTGTAACCTCTCGCATATGTTGCTAGGTCAGATTAGGAAGGGTGAGGCTGGGTCCGATTTCCAGGCGAATTTGGTGTACTGGTGTACTCTCATTCCGCCAATGATATCTCACTGACTAAATTCTAGTAAGTCTTGGCTAAACTGAATGGTTGAAATACTGTAGTAGGTGGCTGCAGGCAATGATTATCCTAGCTTGATAGTAAAAGATCTTGCCTTGAATATAGCAACTTTCCATCCCCTCCGTCTATACTTAAAGGCTTAGGCCTAAGACAAGTATTTAGGATCTAACATTACCACCTGTACCCTGGAGAAACACCGGGAGACTGGCAAAAAGGTGATAAAAAAGATACCTGAGTTGATAGCAAGAGTAAAAAAAAAAAAAAAAAAAAAGATATAAAAAGATTTTATAGTTATAACTAATTAATTTGAAAAAAATATAGAAAATATTATATAAATAACAAAAACTCTTTTCCACTTCACATCTAATTTCCTTTTAGAAAACTTTAAAAAAAAACCAAAAAATTAAAAACTTTATTCATATAATTATTCAAAGAAACACATAAGAAAATAACATTAGGTAATTACTAAGAACAAATAACTAATATCTTCTACTCTACATTTCAAATATCTATACTTTTCAATAAAAGACTTTCAAACAAACTTATCCCTCAAGTGAGGGAATAAGAAATATACCTTCTGATTCACAGTAAGGTCTCAGAAAGCCAACATTCACTACCACCACTACAGCCAGTCGTGTGTCAGGTTAAACACTTCCCTAGACACTGTAGTAACTCAAAAAAGACCAGATTTTATTTGATAAATCAAACAACCTCGCTATCTTCCTTGAGCTAGAAGGACGTCAAGACTTCCTATCAACTGTACAGAGTTAAAAAATTCTTATTCTACATACCAAAATCTTAAAAACCAAAATCAGTTTACCCCCTCCAAATTCAAGTTACACAAAATCCTCTATCCAAACAAACATCAAAACAACCATAACACGTCAGCAAGTAACAACATGTCAACAAGTAACAATATGTCAACAAACAATAACATGTTAACAAAAAACTACATATCAATAGGTAACAACACATCTATATACTATAAAACTTTCCAATTTAAAAACAAGCTACCAATTATAAGTAAACAAAAATGCATTAACAATTACATTACACACCAACCACTATTATATACCACCTAACACCACATGCTAATAATCACTCATATTAGCAAACAACAAGTTACATTACACAAAATTCACATCATGCATACAACTCTTCAATAGTTCTACACCCACCAATCATTATCTAACATGTCTAATCACAACACTTAAGTAGTTCCCACCAGAACTTCTCATCCTATTACATCTTCCTTGCTACAACATCAAACTGCCAAACCTCTCTTGCTAGATATCATTCTTATTGAAAGGAAGAAACATCAATTTGCAGTCATTTATTTGAACCAAAACAAAAAAATCATCGTCACAGAACCTTTCATGTCTATCACTACCCCATTTCTTTCCAATCATTCTTCAAGATGACTCATTTCCACTCAAAACATCATCCATACAAGCTCATCAAATCTCTCTATTATACAACTGAAATTTTCAATCAAAGATCAAAACAGTCTATTTATTCAATCTTTCTTTCTCAAAGACAAACTGTATGGTCAGCTAGACGAATTTCTAAATTACCAAAACTTTCTTCAAACTTTCTTCTCAAACAACAAAACCCTTAAAGAAGGAATTTTCAATCAGGTTTCTAACAAAGGCTGGAATTATTCCAAGCATGTTCCCTGGAATATGATTAAAGTTGATAGAAAGACAAATGGAAAGAAAAGGGTATTTTCCCTAAGCGCTAATTATCAAATCAGCCCAGCTGAATATTCAGAAACTCCATTCATCTCTTCGTCCAATAATCTAATTACAACTTTCAACTCTTTATCTAACCAATTACAAGTAACAAAACCAACAGATCATTATACCCAATTAGACACTTCACTACTCTCCTCTAATCAGAATCCAGCACATTACAATTTAATTAACAATGATGACTCATTAATGTCAATCGACTTGGATTTTCCCATTCTTAACAATCTAGACATAGAAGTCTTCTCCAGCACACTTCTCTTTCCAGAAACCAGGAATAATCTTCTATCCATTCCAATCAACTTCTCAAATATTCTTAACTCACAAAACCTAGATAAGTCTTTTCTTTCTTTCATAAGATTCTCATCCCCCATTTTACAAAACCCACATACTTACAGCTCTACCAACTCTCTAGATATCCGCAACTTTAATAAACAAGATTCTAGACTTGACAGAAAGGCTATTTTTAAAACTAGAGAAGAACAAGTCAGCGTGAGACTCAACAAGTATGAGGACAACCTGACAATAAAGTTACCAAATATTGAGAGATACAATCCTTTTGACTGTGACAATAATAGTGATAATGAGACAGACCCACAAGACTCCTTACTATTAGAAGGCATATGTGATTACTACCAAATAGTCCAGTGGGCCTCCAAACTATTATCAGTAAGAAGCAAATCACAAGAAATAATCAAACTCATTCTTGACATTCATAAAACATCCAAAGACAATACTAGACAAAAGCCTCATCTTGTTATCTTTATAAAAATAGAGACAAGAGACTAACAATTTTTCAATCTTTTTTCAAAACCAAAGATCTCCGGGGCAATTACCAAAAGAAATACGAGAAACTAGAAAAACGTTTCCAAAAGAATTACAAGACCAAAAACAAGATCATCTACCTGAACCACATAACAAAACAAAAAATCGGGCTACTTCTAAATGCCTGTCTTCTTGTTGCAATCTGCGGTATATCAATATATTCGACCTTACACCTTTTCAATTTACACAAATCCTAGACTATGGGTGCAATTATTTCTACTATCCAGAAAATACAGAAGACCTAGATCATCTCGAACTTCTACCTCTCTGCAAAGAAATGTTTCGAAACAATCTTCCTCCACTTCTATCAAATCCAAACTCTATTTCTTCAAAAATTAAAGCAAAGATTCTTTACAAAATTCCCATTGCAGATAGAAACACAACAGAAGATATTGCAAGATCATTATGACTCTATTACAAGTTCGATATTCTTCCAGATTCCTATTTTGAAATTCTACCTTTATTACTAGAACATCTCTTCAATTTTCTATACAACTTCCTTTCTTTATTCCCAATAACTAAGAGAAGCGAATTAAGGAACCTGGACAGTCTGATAAGTGAACTCAGAAAGCAATTTGTTATTTCTCCAAGACTTCCAGATCATATTTCGATCTTCCTCCACCAAAAATTCCACTCCCAGACTCTCCTATGGGCCTGGCACCTGAATTTCAAAACCAGTTTCCATTAGATCCATTAATTCAAGATATAAGTGTAATGGTCAAAGAACTCAGAAACAAATACTTTTTCAAAAGACTTTCTCCA